ACCTGTACCTGTCAATGAGAATCTGATCTGTTACGACCTGTCCCTGCCAGTCATCTCCCATCATACCGTCCTGCCAGCCCGCACCCTGACACCGCGTTAATTTGACGACGTGGATCTAACGGCGTCCCCCGAAGCTCGAGTGGGGTGAAAGATACAAGCACTCTAGGGATTGGTGTATAAAAAGACGTAGGCTCCGGTGGTATATACGTACGTTCGCTACTCCCACTGAGCCGTGGACTAAAGCATAGGAGCTACGGTCGGAGAGAGTGGTTGAGAGAGAGCGGTGATAGGGGAGAGTGGTGAACTAGGGGAGAGTGGTGAATAAGGAGAGAGAGCTCAGCCGCGTTTTAGCACTTTAGACCCCACTGTATTGCCTATAAAGGTGTAACTCTGCCTTGAAGGAGATATAACAAGGGAATCTCTACCGCATTCTGATTCTCAATTTGGTTTATTTATATCATGCATAAATTTCACCCAAACATCGAAATTATGCGTTTGGAAACCCCTTTCGTACTTGGACTAGCCACTTCAGCATCTGCTCTGTGGTCAGTTACTTACTACTCCACAATTGATTGTTTAGGCGCGGGAAAAGAGGTTGGAGGCTTCGAAGCCGGTTGCTAGACTCTGGGAACCGGCACGGAATCGGTTAAGGTCTCTACCGACAGTGGCAACAATTTTACATTGAGCACGAGCTGCAACTGCAACCCTCCTTACGACGATGTTATTCCGAGTAAAGTAACCGACCACTGTGTCAACGCCGCTATTCGTTCCTTCTTCTCTTATTGATCGTAAGCTGTTTGCTTTGAAATAACTTCCCCACCTCGTTTACATCTACGAACTAATACTGGTTCATTTAAGCCCCGAAAACACGCTGAAGGGGCATTAGTCAAAAAGCTCAGCCAAGGGGCCAGAATGAAATTCTATAATCTTCTTGTCTGTTGCTCTAAATATCGAGACTCCGTTGTTCCTTTTCTATCTAATTTCATCATAGTTGATATCTTTGCAGCGTTTAACATTAGAGGAGTCAAGCAAATAAGTACACTTTCGGAGACAACCGAAAGGTCCTCATTAACATTGACATGCGTAAGCCTTCACGGACAATCCGATCACGTATACAGTATCGCCAATAGAACTGGCTCACCAACTAGATTAAATATAAATGCGTACCAAGTCTAGTGGATAGTGGCCTATAATCAAATGAAAGCTAGGAGTCAGGCTAAATGAAATCATCCATCCACACTGTATAGAGTAATTATGTCGTTGTATTTAGGGTGTTAGTTTCGAGAACTAAGCTTGTTGCACTACTAGGCTGGCCATGGATTCGTATTTTAGTCAAGTTGGGAACTCAACCCTTATCTGCGAGAGGTTATGGTAAATGACGTCATCCATCCCTTGCTCGCAGCTTTCGGCTCAACCCCACAACATTGAGGTGTAGTATCCAGCGAACTACAATGCCTCCCATACTCGCTCCTCATGCACCAATTTCTTGCAGAGCTACTATGCGGTGAATGGAAGTACTTCATGCCACAACACACCACCATTTACGTGTCATCGATTGTGGAACAATCCTGGGCTACCGATAAATTAAATCTTTCAGTGCTCCTATGGGTTGTGGCGTAGAATCCAACTGTAGAAGCGATATGCAGGCTACCACAACTATATAACCATGTATGTACAGGTAGATCGTACCACTTCTTAGACGAACTTAGAGCCTCGCCGAGGCCTGCCGAGGCCTAGTTGCCGGCTGTGTTTGCTGCCCTTATGGCGCGCGACTTCGAAACAGTTGGGATGCCTCCACGAGGTCCAAGACGGCGTCCATCATCTTGACACGCGAGGCGTTATCAGGCTTACCCTTTCTTCCTTCTTCAGAACCTCCTAGCAAGGCCGACACGCTACTGAACGCATCGCCTGCCTTCACTCGAAGCTCCCGTCGCAAATCCCTCAGATCCGAACAGTCCAACAAAACGCGAGTGACGCTCTCTCGCTCGCCGCAAACACACAGATCGTCATCGCGGAAGCGGAACACCTTGGCATATGTGGACGACCAACAGTGCCCCGTTCGAAATTGTGTCAGTAAATAGGCTCGACACCTGGGTAGCGGTCCGTAGAGCCGCCTCATGTATTTGGCCGGTGGTGGGTGATCGATCCGCCGAAGGCGGCTACCTGTTGTGATTCAGAGGTATGAATTGACTTGTTATTTCAGAGTGATACATGAGCCTATATGTACAACGATGAACCAAGTTGATGGGGAATCAACTTGGTCGTCAGTATAGACACTTCGGAGCTAATTCCGACAGTGCGGCTTGGTTCCTCATCTGCACCAGCTTCATATCACAAAATTACCTGTTCTGGATTCGTTCCATTCCTTCCCCCATTGGATGTAGATCCCTTGCCGGATGAAGACCTTCTCGCGAGATAGTAAAGGGGCGAATAGATGGGTTATCCCAGGCACGGCTGCCTCTTTGGCCAATTGATCTGCGGTATCATTTCCGGGCGCCTCGCAGTGTTCGTATCCATTGTAGGCGAATTTTGGTGCCGTGAGACTTGACGTTCCTAGCCAGAAGGGTAGCGTTAATAACATTATTACTACAAATGATAATACATTTTGTGATTGTTACAGAAACTTGTTTTGGATGATTTATAGTGTATAAAGTAATTGTTTATGTAATAATGAAACACCTTTATTCGAATCCATATGTACATTCTGATGATTGGAAGGCAGTTTATGCGGGGCACAGATCCCACAAAAAGTACCTGGGTATATCCAAAGTTCATATTGTAAACTTGTATATTTATCTACAAGTATCTTAATTTGTTCTAATTACTATTATCATTATACAGTTATTATTCGATTAAATTCAAGAATTATTTTTATTTTAAGTAAGATTTTAACTTTGCGGTGAATAGATGTATTTTAAACTTTAAACATTAAACTTAGTTTAATGTTTTATATATTAAAAGTTTGCTGTTGTATTAATAAAGTATTTGTCTTCATTAATATGAAATTTAAACAAATTACAATTAGATGCCCCAACACCATGGGGTTTATTTTTCCAAGATTCTGATTGGCCCGACTTGGATTTTGGATTTTGGACGGCTTGCAGAGCCGACTTACTGAGGATAGTCGCACTTTCAGTGCGCGAGCCAGCTGATTTCCACCGCTGGAGGGCGACCTTGTTGATGAAGTTGATGGCATACAGAATACCTAGCTTTATGCAGTGCCCGGGCACGGGAAAAATGCTTTCGATCTATTTACATTGGGAGGCTGGCAAAGAACGCGCCTTTGTCTAGAGGCGGAATCTCTTTTCGACTTCTACTGTAACTAGTTTATAGTTAGTTGATAATTTATGCCGAAGATAACGGACGAGAGGCAGAAACCTTTTTATACAGAAAATCTAGGGGTAGCGGGTTACTAGGAAATGCACGTGTTGTGACTAGGGCTTTGCTATCCGTGGGTTTCTTAAGTGTATGCTGAACACGCTATGAGTGATTACCTCAACGTTTTTCTCCACCAAGTAAAAGCGCGACCCCTCAACCAGTATTTAACCGACATTGCACCTATCTAGTTTATCTACGAGCCCTTACCGCGGTTAGGGAGGCTAGGGATAGCCAGATAAATGCAGTCGGCAAGGGATCTCGCCCCCTCGAAAGCGGCGATACCGGAGTGCGAAGTATAAAAAGCTACAAGTGAGCACTGCAAACAGCCACCACTCTGAACTGCTTACAACCTAATCGTCAATCACCGCTGTTCCACGGTCGATTTGGTTGAGTGACTGAAGACGTTCCCGAGGAATAGAGGCCGAGTCTATTTCCGACTCGGCAAAAGTTAATTGCAACTATAAAGAGATCGGTTCGCTCGTTATCTTATGTCCCCAAACTCTCTTGTCGAACCTAAAAATCAGATAGCAAGCGACAATTTCGATCACTTGCTCAAAGACATGGAAGAAAATCTGACCCCAACGTCAGAAGATCCGGGGAGTTCGGAAGAACAATGGACCGCGATCGACTTCCGTCGAGTCGGAGACGAACTTGGTCTCCAATCCTCGAGAACGTCCCAGCGACTCAACCAAATCGACCGTGTTCGCGCCAACGGTGTTGGCGATCAAGTTGCCCTGCCTCAGCTAGTGGTATGTGGTGATCAATCTGCTAGCAAAAGCTCCGTGCTGGAAGGCATCAGCGGAATTCCTTTTCCTCGACAGGATGGCTTGTGCACCAGATTCGCTACAGAAATTGTCCTCAGACATACACATATCCCATACTTGCCGCATTAGCTGCATTGGCCGCAGTTCAGACGCTTTCTACCGTCCAACGATCTTAAAGAAACAGGCTATGGTAGCTGCGCTCCCGTTCGGCATTCTCTATGGTTTATGCCAATATATTGCATTAATGCCAATCATTAGGCGGGGGGTTTTTTTTGCGCTTGAATACTACAGCGCTAAGTGCCTACCTATCATATCCATCTGTACTACGTAGATCGGACCAAATAATTGTTAAGTGCTTATGCTTAGTTGGCAATAAGCACTCCTCCACTTGTACATCAGAGTTACGCGCTCAAATTACTTGGCTAGTTTATGGAAACACCGCAATACTTAAGGCTCATTGCAGCCCTGGAGACGACCAACTTATCTCTAATTATCCTTATATCTTGTCTCCATCTTACTCGCACGCTATCTTCGAGCTTCGCTTGCAATGTCATCGATACGTCGGAACTTCTCGACTACAGCTCGCGCTCTCCTTGAATTCATATGGAAAGATACAGGCTCTAGCTCCTAATACGAGGATCGTATTAAAGCGAAACTTGTCAAGAACCCGAGACTAGTCGATGCTGATAAGGTGGAAATGACCTTTGCCGCGATTTTGACCTGAGCTCCCTAGATATTGGAACCGGCATATTTTTTAGCGCTGCGCTAGTGCACAAGACATAATGCGACATGTGACTAGCCAGCCAATCCTTAACCGTCCGCGTCCCACTTGCGGCGTGAGCCTACGGGATCCAAAACAAGCCATCTTCGTTCCAAGTTCGTACTACACCCTTCTCTCTTTAAAGGGCATATGAATCTGTGTCAGTCTTTTTGGCTTTGTGCAGAGTAATGACGCGGAATCTTCCTAATATTCTCATGCATCCCTTCAAGGCGTTTCGCCAGTCGCCCTGGGCATTTTCGTCCGCCCTTCCATCCCGAATTGACCCGTCCTTGCTGATTGAAGAGGAGAACTCTCCCTACTACGAACCAGCCTATTTTTATCCGGCGCGGATCGGTGAAATACTTCATGACCGGTATCAAATTGCGACCAAGCTTGGCCACGGAAGCAGATCAAGTGTGTGGCTTGCAAGGGACCTTCACCAGTTCGTATTGGCTTAATCACATTTTGAGGTACATACTGACAGTTTAGGTGGCGCTGGTCGAGCGAGCGATATGTGGCTCTTAAAATTAATTCCAACAATTCCCACGCACGGAAAACTGCTGGTGACGTTGAGCTGGAGGTTCTGCGGCATATAACGAGAGCGAACCCTCAACATGAGGGTTGGCCTTTCGTTCGAAAATTACTCGACTCGTTTTCTGTCCAGGGCATCTCAGGGAATCATGTATGTCTCGTCTTCGAACCTTTACGTGAGTCACTGGGAAAATATTGCCAACGATGGCAAGATCGCGTGATGCCACCGGAGATTTTCAAAATAATCCTCCAAGAAATACTACAAGCGCTTGATTATCTCCACACTGAATGTCATATCATTCATACCGGTAAGAATTCTTGTTTGTGATAGTTAACAATATGGTTCTCACTCAGAAGTAATAGACTTAAAGCCAGATAACATCATGGTACGACTGGAAGATCGTGAGCTCTTATCGCAGAATTCTCGAGATGAGTTTGAAAACCCACTACCTCAGAAGCATTGCAACGATGGACGCATTATCTATCTATCCCGTAAGGACTATGGACCGCTGAAGGATATCATCGGACTGATTGAAGTCGTCGACTTTGACCTAGCAGTCCAAGGTGATATTCTTCAGGATGGCTGTATCCAGGCGGAGGTATATCGTGCGCCAGAGGTCATCCTTGACAGAGGTTACACGTATAGTGCTGATATATGGAGTCTGGGAGTTATGGTACGCGGTGCCCTCCCTCCCAAACACATACTAGCACAGACAAACTAACCATAGAATGAAGCTATGGGATTTTCTAGAAGGACGAACACTGTTTGAATCAGTTGATCCACGCACCGTTGAAGTTTATGATGAGGAAAGGCATATTTCGCATATAACGTCGCTTTTGGGTCCTGCCCCTAGAGACTTTGTTCGCCGCGGCAAGAGGACATCGATGTTCTATACGGCTGCTGGTAAGTGAGTCTTTCACTTGAATATCTTTTATATTACTAACACTACATTTCAGGAACACTCAAAAAGGAAGACCTTGTCCCTAGTACCTTTAGCTTTGAAAGCACTATCTCCAAGTTTGATGGGGAAGAAAAGAGGATGTTTATTAGCTTCGTCAACCGGATGATCAAATGGAAACCCGAAGAGCGAAGTACGGCGGCGGAGCTACTACAGGATCCATGGCTTCATAACGATTATCCGCAAATATGAGGCGGTCTTCCATCTTTGTTCAGCGATTATTACATCAAACCCGGCGATGGTAAGCTAATATCTGAGGGGCGTTGTTAGGGAATTAGTCGGGCGACGCAAATATCTTATGTACATAGTTCCGAGTAATCAATCTACCATTCCTACACTTTCCAAATAGGGCTGGCACTCGTTACCATCTTGGGTGAGTTACCATCTTGGGTGATTTTCACCCTGATTCTCAACCCGTTTATAGTGCACTCACCCTTGTCACCTCCGGTCGCGCGACCGTAAAGCGGCGCTCACCCATTTCTCACCCAGGCGACACCCACCTTGAAGGTACAAAGACAGCTCTGAAAGCATTTAGGCCAACGTGGAATTAGGGAAGGCATGCTGCACAGGATACTTAGGGGCCAATACAGTGTTAATAAGGATATAGTGGGCACGCATTTTGAGCTATACTTGGAAAGAGAAGAAAGCGGCCCGTTTCCAATTTAGGTGTCCAAAATCTGATTTAAATTCATCTTCTCCCTATGCTATACGTCAGTCCGGCCCTACTCCAAGGTGGAGAAAGGAGTAAGTGCGAGCCAATCACAAATAAGACATGCTTAGATCTCAGAATTAAGAAACCGGCAATGTTCACCTATTTAATGCTTGAGCCGGTTCTAATTTACTCTCAAGTCACTCAATGGTTTTACTAACCAAGCGCAAAATTTCACATCCAAATATATAAAAGCGATCAAGGTGACCTTATGCGGCCCGTCTATTGCAATATCCAAGCTAGAAGATTTGCCTTCTCCAGGTCCTGATCTGTAATTAAAAATGGGGTCGGATAATATGAGCTCTGCAAAATTTAGCCTTTAGTCATGTGAACCATGCCTGGCTGCATAACGTATCCGGTAAGCGAGCTGGCCACCCCAACCAAAACGCGTCCATGAATTAGATCTTAGGTAGTTTAACCACCCACCATGCCACCAATTCGTACTCAATCCTCTCGAAATTCAATAGAGCAGGAGGGTAGGATCTTACTAGCTATCCAGGCTTTTAAGAATCAAGAAATCTCTTCAATTCGTGAAGTGGCGCGCCGTTTTAACGTCCCAAGATCCACCCTTTCTACCCGCCTGAATGGTATACAACACCGCGCGATTTTTCGCGCTAACTCTCATAAATTGACCGATGCTGAAGAGGAATCTCTTCAGAAATGGATCCTCTCTATGGATTCTCGTGGATCAGTCCCCCAGCCCTCTATGGTACCAGAAATGGCAGATCTTCTTCTTCAAAAGCGTGGAACTACCCCGGTTCTTTCGGTCAGCGAGGAATGGGCATATAACTTCGTGAAACGGTATCCTCTCCTATCCTCCCGATTCTCGAAACGATATAACTACGAGCGTGCGAAATGCGAAGATCCTAAAATCATTGGGGAGTGGTTTGATTTGGGTTAAAAGACAATCCTTCAATTTAGAATCGACCCTGATGATATCTAAAACTTTGATAAGACTGGTTTTACAATAGGATTGACTACAACTGCGAAGGTTATTACGAGGAGTGAATACTACGGTCGGAGGCCGGTTTTATAACCCGGAAATCGTGAATGGGTGACGGTAGTTGAATGTACGAATACTTCTGGGTAGGTGCTTCCTCTGTGTATAATTTTTAAAGGCAAAGTCTTTATTAATTTATGGTTTAACAGCCTCCTAGAGGATTGGCGCTTCGGAGCAGCTAGTTTAGTACCATTTGCACCCGACCGAGTGATTTCAAAGCTTGATATTCGGCTTCGAACCCCAACCCCCCCAGCCAGCCGGGGGAGTGAATCAAGCCGGAATTTTGCCCCAAAAACCTCCTTTACGGAGATAGAACTACGTCGTCAAGCTTCATCAATCAAAGCTTTACTTCGTACAAGATCTCGAAGCCCTCCTAGCCCGTCAGATTGTGCATTAAACCAGCTTGTAAAATGCTTCCGTCTTACAATGCAAGGTGCTATCTTACTCGCCAAAGAAAACAAGGATTTACGCGCCGCCAACGAGAAGCAGAAGCAAATGCGTACTAGCTCCCGGAGGCAGATACCTACTGAAGAAGGCCTCTCAGTTCAAGAAGCTTCTTAATTGATTACTGAGCCGGTGGAATCAATTGAAGCACCTCCTCCCCCTCCACGAAGAAGCCCTTCGCCGGCTTTACAACCACGTACGCGGGCCCCGCCAAAGTGTAGTGGTTGTGGAGAAATAGGACATAAGATTAATAGATGCCTAGCTAGATAGATGATTTTAGTATATTTAATTTAATGGCGTTTTGGTTGAGATAAATGCATTTAAATTAAGAAGTTGGTTGGGGTGACCAGCTCGCTTACATGGCCAGCTCGCTTACCGAATACGTTAACTAGTTACATGCTGTACTTATGTCAATGAGGGGAAACCCACCTGGAAATGATTGACATTGCGATAAATGGAACCCATCTTCCTCTGTTCCAGTAGAATCTGCAAATTTTGGATAAGAAAAAAAAGGCAGGTGGATCAAGAAACAGCAATGGAGGCCTCATTCAAAGAAAGACTCTTAGTCAAGAACTCATCATTGACCAAAGTGCAACCTTCATGATTTCATCTCCAATATGCTACAGCTGTGCATCTAGTGTAGTCCAATAGGGCCGCTCGTACCCGGATGCATGACGTAGCGAGTTTTTGGGTTTGAGGAATGTTGCTTTTCCATGTCATCACTGAGCTCCGGAGCATCCGATTTATAACCTCATCGTTTTCCCCAGAGATTCTATATACTAAGAAATTTACCTATAGGCTATTCTTTTTCTGATTGTATCCCATTCCTCCTCTATACCCTCTGTGCGATCTACGCGACATCTAATTAACCTTCTCAAATCTAAATCTACCAAAATGGGTCTCAGAGGTGTGCAGCTAGGTCTTAGAGCCTGGGAGGTAGGTGGCCAATGCAATCGATAAAACCCAGAAGTCACAAGTTTTGACACCAACCAAACTCGCAGTTCTTATGGTCCCTGCTCATTATGGCTCTCATCGGTAATATGATCGCCGAAGCTTTCTCCGGGAACCCTGCAACTGTGAACTATTCAATCTATACAGCCGTGTTCTCGATGTTCACGCTGTTCTACCTAATTCCGGCCTCGTTCAATATCGACTGGGCCGGCCACCCGATCATCATGATCGTCCTCGATGCGCTGAACTGCGTTTTCTTCTTCTGTGCTGCCATCGCACTCGCTGCGAAGCTTGGATGCCACTCTTGCAGCAACCAGGTAGGTTGAACTGAGCCGAGGATCATGGTGCATATGCGAGATGATAGCGAACTGACGCTCATTCTTCTCTAGGAGTACCTTAGGAGCAATGAGATCACCAATGGCGCAAACAACAAGTCCAAGCGCTGCCGTGAGGCCCAAGCCTCTGTTGCCTTCCTCTGGTTTGCCTGGGCGGGCTACATGGCTTCCGTCATCGTCTCTGTGTTCATCTCCCGCTCTGCTGCCGGCCCCTCGCGTGGCCGGGCTGGCAGCCGCCGGGGCGGCCGCCCCAACATGACCCAGGTTTAAATGGGCCTTTGTCATGGAAGATGGGTGCGTGGGGTAGTTTGAACTTTTAAGCTTGATTGCTGCTACTCTCGTCGGTCGTGGTTGTGTGCTACTTGGTAATTTGGTTATAATTATGGTTCTGGGTCTGATTAATGGCGTCGAAGGGGTGATGTCAGTATACGGTTAGGGTGTTCATTGGGAGGTGGGTTGACAATCTTTGGAGCTTGGGGCTCTTGGTTTTGATGTCTTTCCTGGTCTCATGCCTGCAACGATTCGACGGAAACACTTCTCATCTCTACTTGACCATGAGAGAGACACTCTGATATTAATGTGCTTACTATTTATTTCATTAATGATAAACATTTTTGGTCGGTCGCCTCCAGCTTATCAGCCATTGACCGTTGTTTTTGACCTGTACGATTCCTCTGGCGTTACTGCCATCACTGTATGGCGATTGGATTTCATGTAATTAGCGATGTCGAGTATATACTCATTCCTTCCTCTTCCTCTTCCTCTCTTTTTTCTCCTGATTCAAGGCTAAAGAGTATCCAACGATCCCATGCTCACAACTCAACCCCCCTTTGGGTCGCCAAAAACAGTATCTAGACGAGTTCTAAATCTATGTAAATAGAAATTGCATATCCATTTATCGAAATCAATCTTGTGTGCCAAAGCCACCCTGAGAAGTGATGTCCTGAATTCTTGCCTCGCAAAATTGCCTTGCTTCTAATGATAGGAGCGGTTTGAATTCGCGGGTGAGGCTCTGATGCTAGCTTTCGCTAAGATTCCTACATGATGCATGGTTCCAGAGAGCTGTGCATGTACTCCGTCATGGGGGCGAGAGTTGACTCATGCAAGGCGCCGTACGCGGAAAACAACCCAACACCCGGGGATGTTGGGAACTTCTAACAGAAACAACAAATCTCTAAAAACAACTCCCATCTTCTATCTCCACGTTTACATTGTTAAGCTTAGGGCATAGCGGGGCAAGACTCCCCTCCGCTCCACCCATAGAATTTCTCCAGAGCTTCCCGCCCTGACACTTTTTTCCATCCCTTCATTTCACATCTCCATCAATATGCCTCTCCAGTGAGATTATCTTGCCGTCACCCTGTATTTGCGACTACTGATCACCTCATTAGTTATCTGATTCTGCTCTCCCGACAGGGCAAAGTGGTATGCCTCGGCACCTACCCAACTCCATAACACAACACCTGGCCGAAGCCACCCCAACTGACAACATTTTTCTAGCGCCTCGCCAAGTGGTTCACCACCCTCTCCCCCAAGGAGAAGGCCAAGATCATCAAGGATGTAACCCAGCTGGTGCTGTCCCGCCGGACGCGGATGTGCAATTTCCTGGAATACAAAGGTAGCTTTCTGTCCCCGCACGACCCCCTTTCGCCGACGAGCTGGAATTGGACTAACAGGGATTTCACTACCAGACTCAAAAGTCGTCTATCGTCGCTATGCGTCTCTCTTCTTTATCGCTGGCTGTGCCTCGACCGATAACGAGCTGATCACACTCGAGGTAGTGCACCGCTACGTCGAGCAGATGGACAAGTACTACGGCAATGTCTGTGAGCTGGACATCATCTTCAACTTCCAGAAAGCATACTTTATTCTCGATGAGTTAATGATTGCGGGGGAAATGCAAGAGACCAGCAAGAAGAATGTGCTTCGCTGTATCAGCCAGCAGGATAGTTTGGAAGATATGGAGGTAAGTTGAGATTTTCTTTTAATTTCGATCATGGGGATTGGCACTCTCTATGATTGAAGAAGAAAGAATCTCCAAGAGAGCTGCCACATGGCCACATTTAGCCGCCCCCCTCCCCCCCTTTCTCTCCCAGCCATGGCCAAGTTTCAGCTGGGCTAATTGTTCCCCAGGTTGAGGAAGATGTGGTCACCAAGATCATGTAACGCAAGCAAGCAGGATTCTTGCTCCTTTTGTTTTTGTGGCGTACATAGGAGTTGTTTCCATCACGATACTAATCAATCCAACTTATTCTCACCCAGGAGTCGGAATACATAACACACAATTTGAACCGAGTTGGCCTGTGAGTTGGCTTCCATGGTTTGACTGCTCGTGAGGTCAGTGCGGGTTCCTACTGGACCACGCCTTCACACGTGACTGTTTCCGGAATCCCCCCCCCTCTCAGATCACCTTATCCTAGGACCATCCCCTCTAGTTTCATTTTTCATCTCCTTGTATACTTCCTTTGACATTGGTGTGGACTTGCTATAAGACTTGCGGTCTGCCTTCGTGTTATCTCCCCTTATCTGTCCCCTGTTCGCCGTTATCGCTCGTCGACATCATCGGATCTCCACCTTCGGCCCAATCACCCGATTGTGTTAAAGCTGCTTTCCCCTTGTCTATCTCTCTCTTTTCCTCTACACCAGAAGAGAGATTTGAGTCTATCTCTTTGAACGTCAGACCGTAACACGTCATCCAAAGACGCTTATCGGCTTATCTCGGGATCATCTCCACTATCCCGGTTTAACCTCACGATGAAGGTAAAGTCATAATCCTAACGTGTCTTTCGATCGGTAAAGTTAATTGAGCCTCCTTTGGATATAGTTTTTACCCCTTCCAGAGTTTGAGGACGTGACGAGTTCTCTTAATTTTGATACGACTGACTGCCACATCGTCGGCGGCTGTGATATTTACACTACCAAGGCGGCACGCTCCGATCGGAAACTCTACAACCAAATCGAGCAGTCGCTCGAGGCTCAATATGAATCGGTTCTTCGGTTTTCGGCTTCACTGTCACCTCCAAATGCACACGATGCAGCCGAGACGCTCAATCTCTCACGCTCTAGCCCGTTTGGACCCCTGAGCGACCATTCGAGTCGACGGACCTTTGCCTATCTGATTGCTACTTTGAACGCAAGTCATCCGGATTACGACTTCTCACACGTCCTGCGCCCCACTGATTTCCGATGTGAACGAAATCTGAAGCGCGTCATGAACACGGTCGACTCAACATTGCTCAACCTACGACCGCGCGAGAACATCAGCTTATCTCCTGCATCCCCCGCGACGCTTTCTGGATCGTACACAGCAGGATCTTCTTCTGCGTGGGGCCCGCGGGTGTGGAAAACGATAGATGAGCACATGTCGCTCAAGGAGTGTTCGATCTACTCATATTCGCCAGAGGAGGATCCATCCGATGCCGATGATGGGGCTATTTGGAGTCTACATTTTTTTTTCTTCAACCCGACTCGCAAGCGTGTCTGTTACATCTTCCTGCGCGCGATTCCCATCCTCAGCCACACCCCAGACGAGATGGCAACTACGCCTACTGGGAAGCGGACCTACGACGACGGATACCTCACGCCAGATCTCAGTTCTGGCAAGCGGGCCAAGTTCTGGTTTGGAGAACGCGCTAGATCGTCCCTGATCGCCAGCGACAGTGATGATGAGATGGAGCGCCCTTTGAAGACGATTCGGACTACCGCGGACGGCTACGACACTTATGTGATCAGTGACGATGAGGAGAATCTGCCAACCAGCCGTCGGGAAGTCCGAGCAATGAGTGAAGAAATTGCGGACTCGATGGAAGTTTAAGATATACCAACTGATTTTGGCTTGTGTGATTTTTGTTTTCGTTTGTTTCTTGTATGTCTTCTTTTGGTCCCGTTGATCGGGTGTGATCTTTCTAGCCGGAGGTGTTGGTTTAATGTTTTCTCTTTGACAGGCGCAATTAACTTGCATGGATTTTTGTTTCTAAGGGGCGTTGTCGACCGGACATTGTTGAACGGTCGATACTGACATGATGCCCCTCAACTTTCTGTGACTTACTGTCTAATATCATCGATGTCTGTTTTTTTTTTGGGACTTGTGCTGCCTCATGCAGGTTTATACATTTCAGAAGGCAACCCTTGTTGTGTCTTTCTGAAACCCCCTAGCACTTGTCTCGAATGCTATCACTGACACTAACCCGACAGCGAAGCAGTCTTCCATATGTCATGACGAACGACACCTGTGCTTTCACAACTTTAAAATTGGTCCGACCACAAACGAAGCTTGTCTTGCTCGGGCAGGTGTTCCTTATGAATGGTATGAATATGAGCAAGCCCAGGAACTACATCCTCTACTGTCAACCCTACAACGATCGTTCCGCATGGAGAAGTTGAGATTGAGAGCAGAGATAGGTAGATGTGTACGGCGAGATCTAAAGAGTCCATCGTGTCAATCATATGATTAAGTCACTTTCTGTTTTGCAGCATAGCTCTTTTTTGATTTATATGGTTATAGGGTGAGAAAAGAGGGTACAAACAGTGCTTGAGTAATTACTCCACCGAGGGAGGCTGGCTAGTAGTGTACAGAGTTAACAAGTTCTAAGAAACTTGAATGTAGCCTACATCTTCGGTATTACTTCTTGTTTTGCTTATTCTAGAAATGACCTGGCCAAAGTTGCAAGTGGAAGATGGTCATAATTATTAGAACTCATCTACTGGTAAGAATGTTGGCGCGATGGACTCTCCAAAACCAGTTCGTGGATTGGCATGTACTTGTACGGCTCTTTCTTCTCTTTCGATCCAGATCCACTAGAACGTTAGAGAAATAGGTTGTACGGTGGGAGAACTAGGCAAGATCGGATAGCGACAACCTTACAGGCTTCTTTTTTTACATGAATGTATATGGATTTTGCAAGCGGATGAGGTTGATTGACAGGGGTCTTCAGTGCCTGGCGCAGTCCCCTAGATGGCGTCAAGATGCATCTTGCTGACATTGCCTAGGAAGATCTCAACTGAATCCAATGTCACAGTTCACGGGTGGTTATAAGTGATTACCTAGCGCATGGATTTCTTCTAGTTGCTACCTGTCCCGTTGACCTCCCATTCGGGCATATAGATCAGACACGTGGTCCGTGCATCGGGGAAAGCTGTCCATTCTCTCCCTTCCACTTCACCATCCCCCATTTGATTCCATTCATACAATTCGAACGACTCATAATGGCCGACGACGAGGAGCGCATCAAAGCCGAGAAGCTGGCCGCAGCTAAGAAAAGGGTAATTCCCCGCGAGTGATAAATGGCGCTGGTTTGTTCGCTGACTGGACTGTATGTGTTTAGGTTGCCCAGCTCCAGAAGAAAAAGAAGGCCAAGAAGACTACCACTACCGGGGATGACATATCCAAGGAGGGAGAGAACCCCACAGAGACTGAAACTGCTCAAGATGCCTCGAGCCCAGAAATCCTGCAGGCAGACGGCCCCGCGGAGGAGAAGCCAGACACACAAGACGAGCTGGGCGCGCAAACCCAGGCCGCAGCCTCCGAACAACCAGAGGAACGAGAAGAACCAACTCTGCAAATTGATACTGATCCGAGCATCGAAACTCCTACCGAACCGATGCCTCCAGCACCCACGTCTCCTGATCCAGAGGCTGAGCCGTTGCCAGTCCGACTCGATACACCCCGCGCCGGCCACGGCCGACAACCCTCGCTGTCAATCCAGTCAAAGATGCGCTCGTCATCATTTCGCAAGACCTCTATCTCACACGGCAGCACCTCCCCCTCTCCCTCTGCTGCGCTCAAGTCCCCCGCACAGTCATTACCGCCTCTAACCGGGGACGGGGAGTCGGTTCACGAAGTGTTCCGCAAACAGTCTACGAAAATTGAGGAGCTCGAGAAAGAAAACAAACGCTTGGAGAAGGAACTCTCAGATGCAACTATGCGCTGGCGCAAGACTGAGGAGCAAGTGGAGGATCTGCGGGAAGCGAGTGTTGATGGCGTGGTGTTGAGGGAGCAATTAAAGAAGGCAGAGGAGAAGGTTGCAAGCATCGAGTCAATGGTATGAAATCATGTTCCCTGTGATAGCCATCTTTACTAACCTGCGGAATAGAAAGAGGAAATTGCTTCTCTCCAGCGACAGAACTCGCAGCTCCAGACCCGGTCACATCGAAACACCAGTGCAACAGAGTCACCGCCAGCCGAACTTGTTCGTCAGCTCGAGTCCAAATCAGCTACTATTGAGTCCATGGAGTTGGAGATCTCAAATCTCCGCGCTCAGATCGCCTCCCAAACGACCTCAAACGATGCACATGAGTCTCAAGTCGCAGCGCTAGAGGAGAAAGTTTCAAAGACGCAACTAGCACTAGATCAATCCCAGCGTGAGCTGGCAGACATTAAGCAGGCATTGACACAGGCCTCTGAGAAAGCAGTCAAGGACGGCGTCGACAAGATTTCTACCGAAATACTGATCGAGAATCTCCAGCGTGAGATCGAGGAGTACAAGAATGAAAGGAGCGAATCGGAAAAGAAAATTGAGACGTTAGACAAGAAACTCCAAGCAATGGGCAATCTTCACAAAGAAACCGAAGCCCGGCACCAAACACGGATACGCGAGAGCGAGAAATCCGACAGGGAAATCGCTCTCATGCGGAAAAAAATTGCCAGCATCGAAAATGAGAACCTGCGCCTACGTGAAGAAAGTGACCGAATTCGGACTCGCCAGATCGGCGGAAGCGCCGACGATGACGCTCTGGACGAGCTCGAGGACGAAGAACGCCAGCGTCTTGAGCGCCGCATCCGCGAGCTGGAAGGTGAGGTCTTCGATCTACGTCGGGGCGTCTGGCAAGAGAAGCGCCAGGAGATGGAGCACTACCCGGATAACGGTCCTAGTCCTGCCTCCGGCGATGCAGCCAACGCATTTGACGATGTCGATCTCGTGGGTGGACGACCCGACCATGCCCGTCGCCGCAGCACGACCCATCAGCAGCACTCGTCCTTCTCCACCGTGCTTTCTAGCGGGCTTGCTGCCTTTACAGGATCTACTGGCAACCGTGCTCGCGCTTCGTCGTCTAACCCGTCTCACCCCCCTGGTACCCGTGGTAGTCTGGAGCTTGTTTCCGAAGAAAACTTCGATGACGAGTTCGACGAGGATGCATTCGCACGTGCGCAGGCGGAGGAGGAAGGCCGTAAGCGTGTTGAGTGGATGCGGGATATCAAAAGCAAGCTGCGTGACTGGAATGGCTGGCGTCTAGATCTGGTCGATAGCCGTGCCGGAGCAGAAGGTGCTGGCGTAGGCATGGGAGAGATATTTGAAGTTTAGTTCTTGGGGTTTACTTTCTTTTTTTTTTAAACATCATGTGTGCGGGGATGTACGATCATATATACATACCACGAGGTCGAACTCAACTTTACCGGAATCGACCAATGAACTTTTGATGCAAAGAGTGAACTCCTGGTGCAATAGACGTGTGATATCTGATGGAATCCGAAATAATAAGACAGAATATCCAAACTGAAACAAAACCAAAATTATCTTTCCATCTGAATCCCTTAATCCATTGAGGACTTGCCCGTCAAATACCCCTCAGACGACCTACTCTTCCTACGGCCCCAGATATCACCAGCCCAACTGCTAATCCGATAAAGCCAGCCACCAGTAACAAGCACACCTGAAACGGTGTTGATGACCCGAATCAGCAGCGACAAAAAGCCCGCCCTCTCCTCGCTGACCAGCAACAGGATCGGCTCAATGTCATACTTGAAGAAGATGCCCGGCACAACCATCGGCGACTCAGGAATAGCGCTAGACTGGCTCGTTGCCGCGTACTGGTTTGTAAAGACCGTGTTACGCCCGTGCCGCGCAGCCAGAGTCTCCGGCGAGCGCGTGTACAAGTCCAGCGCGCTCTTTCCTCGACTGTACAGCGTCGGCACAATGGAGAGGAAATATTGGAACTTGTAGTAGTGCTCCTCGGTCTCGGCGATCGTCTTGTCGAGCGGGTTCTGCAGGGTTGGATAATGCGGTCCGAAGGAGAGCTCCGTGATCATGTGGGAGAAGTTGAAGGCTGGGCGGCTGTTAGCGATTTTTGCACGGGATAGGGAGTGGCGTGCGCAGAAAAAAAGATGGAAAAAAAAAGGGAAAAAAAAGGGAAAAAAAGGGAAAAAAACCCCCTTACCCGAATGATCCAGGTGCGGCGCGTTCTCGCGATACCCGTGTCCACGTGCGGTGATATGGAAGTCACCTTGCACCTTGTTCCCTTCGAGGCTTCCGTAGATGCGACAGGCGTCTGGGACGACGCCGCGGCGCATGCGCGGGCCCTTGGGGAACTTGCGGCGTGGGTTGTGGCGCACCTCGCCGAGGACGTGACCGACGTGGGCGTCGGCCTCTTGCTCGGCGAGACGGTCGGACTCTTCGTGGGAGAGGGTTTGGTATTCGTGGGCGCCGTCGTTGGTCTCGTAGTTGCGCTTCTGCATCCAGAGGAGCCAGTTTGTGTCGTCACGTTTCAGGAGCTCACCGGCTAGGATGCGATCGCCGGCTGCGTCTTGGATGTTCACGCGGAGCTGGTCGCAGGGCATGTGCACGACCATGTCGAGGTTTAGCTGGAGCTCGTGTGAGACGCCCTTTTCAACGCTGAAGTGGTAGTTCTCGGTGCCGCGCCACCAGGTTTTTAACTCGGACCAGCTGAAGACCGTGCATATAAGAAGGATTAGGACGGTCCATTGGCCGCCGCTGCGGGTTGGGGTGGTGTAGGAAGCTTTTGTTTTAGCTGGCGAAGGTGAGTAGCTTATCTAGATGCCCGAATTTCGAGGTACTCACGAAAGGCGTCGAAGGTCTTCAGGGCAGTCAAACCAGACTGTTCACCGAAGGCATCCTCGTTCAGGCCCTTAGATTCGAAGCCATTCATTGCGAATCAATTATCCATGAAGGCCAATGGAAGTTGTTGTTGGAGAAGTGGAGTAAACAAGATAAGATGAGGCCAAGTAGACCGATTGCCCAGTGGGGACATGCCATCCTAACAACAACGTACAACATATGCATGTCTTCTTTATATTACTTCGGTTTCTCTATTAATAGAAGTCCTTGTCTAATTAAAATCACATAGTCATAATTTCAGCCATAGAAGCCACTTAACGCAACGTTAAATCGCTCTACCCATGAGCAACACATCGCAAACTCTTTAAGAAATGCAATGAGAGGTAACAATGTACAAACGCAGGGACCACGCATGGCCCTGAATGGGGATCATCAAGTATAAGAAAAATGAAGGGATTTGCATACGCAAGAGCAAAACGTAAGGTATAAGCAATACTCAGGTCATCAGAGGCGCAATGCAAATGCAGGAACAAGGGGGTATAACATGAATGCATCTCAAACAAAATGCTGACATGGCAACCACCCGATGCAAGGATGAGAAAGTAAAAAAAAAGACAGAGGGATTAGTATTACAGGGCATTCAACAGCAAAAAAAGACTGTGCAAGATCATTTCCTCTACCGGCTAGTCAGCATCCCATTCTCTGACTGGTTCAAGTCGTTGACCTAACTCACCAAGCTTGTCGCAGCCGCCGCAGTAGCGAGGTCTGGTTTCCCGCTGATACTCCGCGCCGAAACACGAGGGAGTGCGGACCCGGCAGTAGAAGAATTCCCGGACCCTCGCTTGCCAGGGCTGGACGGAGGAACGTTCACGGTCGAGTGTCGTTTGCCGCTACCCTTGGCTGGGGAGTTGGCCGAGGCATCGCGAGTGCGCATGAACCCGCTCTTCAGCGTTGCGCCTGGTGGATCAGGGAGAGGACGAGCCGCGGACGTCACACCTCGCTTGGAAGGCGAGTTTGATGTATGCATCCTGGGTCGGGGGGCCTTGACGCCAGTGAGGAATTCGTGTTTCAACGCGTCATGGGGCGAGAGCCGACGAGCAGGATCCCAGCGAAGGCAGCGAGTGAGGAAGTCAAGGAAGGCTTCATCATCACACTTCAATGCCTGTCGAAGCTCCTTGGTACTCGGACGACGTCGGCGTCCCTTGGATGAAACAGTCAAACGCGGCTTGCCGAGAGAGTCAAAGAACAACTTTTTGCGTGAGCTCTTTTCAATGAGATGTTTCTCCGGAGGACCAAAGACTTCCATGATGCAAGCAAGCTGTTCTTGCTCATTCTCTCCTGGGAAAATAGGATAGCCGGTAAATAGCTCAGCCAAAATGCAGCCTAAACTCCACATGTCTATCGGCATGCCGTACGACATTCCGAGGATGACCTCGGGTGATCGGTAGAAGCGACTCTGGATATAAGTATAGACCTTTTCATTCTCAAAGCAACTTGAACCAAAGTCAATGACACGAATTTCGGAGTTCAACGGGTGAACAAGAAGAATGTTTTCGGGCTTCAAGTCACAGTGGATGACCTTCTTCGCATGCAACAGTACAAGACTGCTCAGCATCTGCTTGGTGAAGACACGGATCAGCTTCAACGAGAAGCCTCGGAATTCGTGGGCCTTGATGAATTCATAAAGATTCATGCCAAGGAGTTCGGTTGAAATACATAGATGACCACGGAAGTAAAAGCTTTGGGTGAAGTTGACAACGCTATGCTTGCCATGAGGGTCCCATTCCTTTAGTTTTTGTAGGAGATTGACTTCAACCAAGGCTTGTTGGTGGAATCGCTTCTTATTGCGAATGATTTTAATCGCAACCAGAACCCCAGTCTTGTGGTCGATGCATCGCACGACCTGGCCAAAACTACCCTTGCCCATGACATCGACAACTTCGTACCGGTAAGCCAGATGGTCACCGATGACGATGTTATAATCACCACGATCATCATCGTAGCCAAAGTTCGCTGCACTGGAGTGGAGATCTCCGACGTGTTTCTTGGCAGTATGAGTACCGCAGAAGAAAACATCGCGATAATCGATGATCTCACCGCGTTCAAAGATGTTGAGCGTTGCCATCTTTAAGGCCTGAGCGGGACTGACACGATCCTTTGGACTAGCCTTGCGGCGCAAGTCGTCTAGCACACGCGCCGCTTTTTCAAAGTCTTTGCGTTTGGACCCAAGTCGCTTCATCTCTTCATTTGCAATCGCCACATCTGCGTCAACGTTGCTATCGATAGGCCGGGAAGCAGCGGCAACACTAGATCTAGCGTGGTTGATCATCTTATGAACTGGAGAGATGAATGTGCTATGCACGCGCCTAGAGCGGTCGCTTTCGCCCGACTCATTGGAGGGAGTTGGCTCCAGGGCAAGACTTTTCTCGCTGCTGACACTTGGCTTCCGAGTCGTCGAACTTGTCGTGCTTGAGATAGAAGATTGTCGGCGAGGATTGAGATACGATGGCTTGGGATTGGGGCTCGTCGAGCTGATTGAGCATAGGTTGTTCCATGTTGCAGAGGCTGGAAGTTTAGGTGGCGGCATAGGATTGTGCTTGGCAGAATCAGCATCAGCTTCTGCCTTTTGGGCCTTCGAGTTGCTGCGAAGCCGTGCCACCTTAAGCCGGTCCCGAAGAGAGGAGCCGGGCGCGGTGACAGTGAAACTCTCAGGATCCGAAGGCGTCGATATCTGACTGAGCCTTTCTGGAGCGGGAGTGAAAATGGCACTTTGCGTTTGAGGTCGTGGACCATTCAACTTGTGCGCTGGCGTCCGGTTCGAGTAGTCGGCGCTGACCTGGTGGCGGAGACGGTTGAGCTCGGCACCACTTTTGGGCAGCGTGTATGAGGCATAGGGAGAAATGTTGCGAGCTACACTTGGCGTTTCAAATGAGTCAAACGCGCTCGTACTGCTAGAAGCTCGCAGCGCAGCGGTTGATGAGCTGACAGCAAAGTGAGAAGTGCTGCTTCGTGCTTGAATAAGAGGCATTGGGTCATCTTGATCACGGTACCAGAAGTTCGCCTTGGATGCTGTCATCGGAGTACTGGGCGTTTTTGAAACCACTTGGTTGGAGGGGGTGTGAACTTTGCGCCCGTCGTCCCTATCCTTGAGTGCCTCAATTTTGGCCGCCATGGGTGTGCCCAAAGGCAACAGATTTAGCGGGGGCAGTTTCAAGGGCTGCAAGCCCTTCCGTCCTGCTAGAACAGTGGAGGTTCGTGATCGTGCATCAGGAGTTTTTGTTTCAGCATAATCAACTTTCTCAACTTGGGCGGTGGTATGCGCTTCCGCGTCCGGATCTTTAATATTCCGAAGGCTCGAATCCGCAGGAATGCTTGATTTTGTGGGCGCAGTGAAGAGAGACGCCTCTAGTTCATCTTTAGGCGACTCATAGGCCTTGGGGATGGCTGGAACCGGTGGGACCTCTTCCCCGTTGGGGTTTGTTTGCTCTGTGCGTGGCTTAGGCGTCGGAAGTCGGGACGAAGATAGATTTTGGGATAGCCGATTTTGAAGAGAGCTCCCAGAAGTTCGCGCGGAGTTATAGCTGGTGCTTGAGGAAACAGATAGTCCTGAACTGTACGACTTCCGATTTGGGTCGGGCGTGGTTCGGTTCGAAGAAGGTGTGACGCTTTTCCTTGGAATTTGAGAGGGAGATTGAGTCGATGATAAAGGGCGAATGGGTAGAGGTTCTGTCTGGGTCGGAGGTGTGTGTGGCATCGGAGGGGCAGGCGGCGCAATGGACATTCGCTTCAGTCGTCGTGCGTCAGTGGGACTGACCGTTCGAGCACCAAGTCCAGTGGCATGTGGCGGCATAACAGAAGCCCGCTTAGAGGCAGAGGAAGGAGTCGCCACGGCGCTAGAAGGATTTCTTACCGGGGTCCGCACAGCATTGGTGGAATTTGATCGCGTATGGTCATTGGCTCCAACGGCAGTCAAGAATTGACCACGGGGTTCCTTTGGGCTGGGCTGGAATGATTTCGCCTTGAGGTTTCGAACAGAAGATGAAACCTTTGCGTCAGATTCGGGAAGTCGAGGGCGAAGCGAGTTATTTGTTAAGGCAGGGTCAGTGTTGATTTTGCGGGCACTTAGACTGGCGCGCCTGGCCGAAGCGTTGGTAGGCGCAAATGCCCCAGAGCTGATAGATTTGCGCGGACCCCTTGAAGTACTTCCTCCAGACGGTTGAGCTATGCTCTGGCGGCGAGCACGAGTATTGGCAGAGGATGCTGTGAGCCCTGCAGCGGTATTCGAACCATTTGGACGTTGCACTTCACTTTTTCGTCGAGCAGTGGGACCACGTGTACGTTCCGACACATTGCCCGTGTACGTGTGGTTTTCCCAGGAGTTCGACGGAGCGCCCGTTTCACGATTCTCACCCGAGCTGCCGTTACTGGGTAAGGGGAGGTGGTTCAAGCTGTGCTCACTCATGATGCTGTTATGAAAATCATCAAAGTTGACTGGCGCTACGACGTCCATGTTGTCTGCATGGTTGGGATCGGCCTTTGACAAATTGCCCACGCTCGTAGATCGAAGGTTGAAGCTTTTAGTCGTATCAACAGTAGAATCAACAGACGAGTTCCCAGAGCGAGGGTACGGAGTAGGTTTGCTAGATATCAAATTAGTTCAAAGTCACCCACGAGAGCAGAGCTAGACATGCCTCCATCGCGAAGTGTCTTGCGGTCGTGGGCCCTGAGGAACCCTTTGATCGCGAATTGAAAGTCTTCTCCTATTTATCCCACCTGCGCGCGGTCCGGCGACTCCATTTGAGGTGTCAAAATTGGTGTTGTTTGAGGGAAAATTGGTCGAGGCCGACTTTTGCAGGCGCCGGCGAGCCGGGGCCTCTGCTGTTCTCTGTTAACATCCAACTGCACCTTCCCGACTTCTCAACTCTCACCTCCCGAGCCCGAATCATCGTTTGAGGGATTGTATGCTGATTCGGTCCGCGTTTGACCCCTCCCCGGTGTTTGGGGCTTTGTCGGCATTGTTTCAGCTCTCGCACAGAAGAAAGTCGGAAAAGGAGAGGACTTGACCGTGCCTGAGATGCTCTCGCAATTTCATTCAGGAGAAGGGCGAGGTCTCAAACCAGGAGATACTTGAGCACCGTCGCGCGACTCTTGAAAACGGTTACCGTTCCATTGCGAGTTGTGAAAAAGCAATGAGGGCCGGGCAGGTTCTCTTTGACAATAATTTTGGGGGAAGCAGGGTTGCTGGGGCAAGTCCACTAAGGCGGTCACTAGAGGGAAAAAGAAGGTAAGGTT